AGAAAAGGTGAAATAAGGACTTTGGCAGGAGTATGTAGGACATCAAAGCTCCAAGATACTGTGGTATCAGGCTCCGATCATAGTACTATGACCCTCAAATGTCTTTGTTTCTGATGTAACAGTGTGCAGATCTCTTCTAATGATGTACAAGCTGCATTTGATTGCTGCCCATATACACCAATTGTAGGACCTCCTTTTCACTTGTCTTGTTCCATGCTTTTCCTCACTTGGAAAGGCCTCTTTCCCTAATGTGATCGTCAGGGCAACCTCTAGGACTCATCTCAAGCCCTACAGGACACCATGGCTGTGATTTCACAGCCAACTCTGTTGGAACCCTTGGCTGATCACAATCCAGTAAACTCCTGAGAATGATTAGAGTCTGGTCCTAATATGATACCTGACAGGGCTGGCACTCAGTACTTGGCAAAGGCAAGGCAGGAAGGTGGTTTGCTTTAGTCAGGGCACTATTCTATTTAGTATTATAATGTTTAATCTTTTTTTTTTCAAAATTGAAATTAAAATCACCTAACATGAAAATAAGACTTTCAAATGTGATTTGGGTTCATTAGTTCATTTAGTTGTAAGCAGTACTTAACAACTTACTGAAACCTGAGAAAAATTACAGGAATTGTCTTTGTTATATGCTGTCTTAATATTTACAGTGCCATAATTTTACATTATGACAATTTATTTATAGATAGTGGACCACAAGAGAAGGGTTTGGCTTTAAAACAAAGCCAACAAGTTTGCTCTTCGAAAAGCTAACCTAGTGAATACCAGATTACTTACTCACTTACTTGATACATAAATGATAGCACATGGGAATGCAGCTCAGTGGTAGAGCAAATACCAAGGATGTGCAAGGTTGTGTGTTTAATCCTCAGCACTGCATATAGGTGGCTAGGTAGGCAGGCAGGCAGGCACACAGTTAGGTAGGTAGGTAGGTAGACTTGTAATCTCAGCAGGACAGATTGAGAAGTCACTGTCATTTAGAAAATAGAAACCTTGAAGTGCTTCAGGATGCTGACTGGTCCCTCTGCTGGAAAGCTGATGAGTACATTTTCCAAGAATCAGGTGTTTGATTTTCAGAATTTGTCTATGCTTATTTCTTTACACTCCTACTGTCATCTACCTGTCTCTTAAATCAAAATATGTTTATTGTATTTGCTGTGCATATGCTGGAGTACAGATCACATCTTACTTGGGAAACAGCATATATAAGTGGAGGCAAGGATATGGAGGAAACAATGAGTAAGCATGGTCACTGTTTTGCATATGACAAACTTAATAGAGTTCCTTTTGCGTATGTCCTGTTGAGTATGACAGATTGCCACACAGATAAGGGTCATTTTGAGTCATGTGATACTGCAGTTAACCAACTCCAAGTCATAAACTTTTTCATGGCATTAAAATCTAACTGGATTGACTATTCATTGTAAGGTGAACAAGACAGTAACTGGCCTGGATCTTTCCAATGCTATAGTTGAGAACATATTTCTGTGAAATAAATGTGAACTTTTATGTACTGGATTTCAGGTTACATACACTATTTTTTGAGACGCTGAAAAGAATAAATCAATGCCTTTTGTCTTTGCACCCTGATAAATATGATCCTATGTCTAGCAGGTGGAAGGGTATGCTCTTAACTGGCCATGTCAACAGTGAGGGTTTGCTAAGCTGTCAGTTTGACTCCCCTGATCAGATCTTGCTATAGTCCTTCCATATGAACATTAATGTTTCAGGCTGGCATCAGCATGAGGTATTCTTTCAACAGGACACCAGCACAGGGCCAAGTATATTCCCCACAATCAGACTTGGATTCAGAATGAAATCTCATTCAGACACCAGTGTCAATGACTCTAAAGGAATAATTTAACAACATAGCCTTTGCTATTTTGCTATATTCACCTGGTATATATTACTATGTAAAAAAAAAAATGACCTGGAGATTAGGTTTTTGTTTTGTTTTTTAGAACTTAGGTGCCAATTGTGTAAAGCATAACTGTCTTAGTTAGGGTTTCTATTGCTGTGAAGAGACACCATGACCATAGGAACTCTTAAAAGGGAACAAAACATTTAATTTTGTGTCTCACTTACAGTTCAGAGGTTCAGTTCATTGTCATCATGGTGGAGAGCATGGTGGCATGCAGGCAGACATGGTGCCAGAATAGTAGCTGAGAGTCCTACATTTTGCAGGCACCAGGAAGTCAACTGAGACTTTGGGTAGTATCCTGAGCATGGGAAACCTCAAAGCTTACTCCCACAGTGACACACTTCCTCCAACAAGGCCATACCCACTCAACAAATCCACACCTCCTAATTGTACCACTCCCTATGAGATTATGGGGGCCAATTAACATCTAGAATATCACAGCAACAAAGATGTTTGTGGCAGAGAAAAGTCTATAATCATACACACAACATATAGAACACTGGGATGCTATGACTCGGGTTTCCAATACTGAAAATGAAAGGTCATGTTTACTCCACATACACATGTTCTTGACTACAGCAGAGAACTGGGAAGGTCCAGACAAACTAAAATCTTGTTCACAATGAATATCCAGTCCAATGGGACTGTAATGGCATGAAAAAGTGTATGGTCCTGAGTTGGCAACTGCGATATCACACGACTCAAATGCCCCTTATCTATATGGCAATCTGTCGTACTCAGTGATACAGACGCAAAAGGAACTGAACAAAGTTTTGAGTGATGTTGAAAGCTGGAAAATTCATATCCACAGTATTAGATAAAATCAAATCTCCTTGGGATCTACCAGGCATGTGAGAAATACAAGTTAATAGTGAAACTCTCGTACTACAGTTGGTGAATCTTCTCATTCCAGTGACTATACCTTATATGGTAGTTTCTCATCAAAAGACTATTAAATCCTGATCTAAAAATTTCTTCTTGAAGCTTCTAAAGCCAACGAAAACTTCTAATTTCAATAGAAGGCCGATCAAACACAAGGGTGTTTGAAACTGTTCCAAACTGCCATCAACTATAACATTTTTCAAGTTTAATATCTGCACTTACATGTTTAATTCTATTATTAAGCCAAAAATATGTTTTTAAAAATCAGCCTATTCAAATACTCTGTGACTGTCATTTACTTAAAATGCTTTATTATTTTTAATAAACTCAATTTTTTGTAATGTAGCAAAATTTCTTCTCCCACTAAATCTGTTTTGAAAGGGAAAACAGTATGAGAAAGGCTCTTTAGTGTCTTCAGGAGCCTTCTCCTGAGCACTGGTGGAGTCAAAGGAGCTGAAACCTTAAGAAAATGGTTCTTCAGAGTGTTTGTGCCATCAAACCCATGCTCAAGTCTACCAAAACCCCCTCATATGCTGTATTACCACTCAGAAGACAATACAATGGCACGTTTAAGTAAAGGCTTACATTTAATTGATGGATGGATAAAGGGAATATTGTTTTAATGTAAGACACAAGAAGCATGATGCCTTTTGGTCTACTTTTCCTAAGGAAAATATATACAAACAAAACTTATTCTTTTAAAAGTTATAATACAAAGGTATTATAGAGATGGCTCTGTGGTTAAGAGTACTTGTTCCTTTTGTTAAAGAATTTGGGCTCAGTTTCCAGCACCCACATGGTGATTAACAACTGATTAGCTCCAGTCCCATAAGACCCAATGCCCTTTCAGTTTACATGGACACTGAATGCACGTGGTGCTTGAACATACATGCATATAAAACATACATGCACACAAAACAAAACTAAATAAATCTTTTAAAACTTACATTGACAGGCATTTTATTTAGTAAGTCACTTGCTAGAGTTCAGGTTCTGGAGGTTATTTTTATTCATATTCCTTTTTAAGGGACCAATATGAAAGACAAACTTTTCAAGTGTAGAAATTAAGGTGGGATTTTTCTCCCTTCCTCTCAGTTCCATTTTTTCCTAGTCGGTCTATGCATCAATCTCTTTAAATGTTTTTATTTAAAAATGTGCCAAAGATAATGAAGTAAAATACCGTTATTTGAAGAAAGAAGTGCGTGGGGGGGAGCAGAGGGGGAACAATGGCAAAATCAAGTGGTTGTTATGTGTTTTTCTATATAGACACATCTAAGGAATAAGAAATGACCGAATCCATACACTAATATCTTATATGTTTCTAATGAAGGAATAAACCTAAACAAAAAATCCTCAGTGCCAACTAACCTTCCCAACCACAGCATCTATGAAGAATTCCTCACTTACCCAGTGTAAATCTAGACTAAACTAATACAGGAAGCACAGAGGATAGATGAGTATGAGAGATAAAACATGTTCATATAATTGGCACCAAAGTGGGAAACTACTAAGAAAAGTGAGTGCATTTCCTCAACAAGAAAATTGCCAAGGTAAAACTCAAAATGAAAACAGGGGCAGAAAAAAATACACATCAAAGGAAACTTAAGAGACATGTCAATGACAATGTAGGATGTCTGTTGGGATCCTCATTGAAGACACGTGCCAAAGAAAGGGCCCATTAACAAGTATATAACCAACCCAGAAAATAATAGTTACATCTATGAAGATACTGGGAAATTTTTATTAATCATTTTTTAAAGCAAGATAATAGCACTAAAGCTGTATTTTGGGAAAGTCCCTTCACCTTTTACTGGTAGTACTAATGCTTTTGTAAGATGAATTACAAAATGTCTGAGAGATCTTTTTCATAACAATCTAGTAGGAGGGAATGCTTATATCAAACAAAAGTAACAGGATATTGGTAACCAGACATTCTAACTTTTAGGTATGTTTGAAATTTTCACAACAGAGTGCTCAGATAACTTTAAAGGGAGGACTGTTAGGGACTAGGAAGTGGATTAGCAGGAAATGCAGGACGGATGATGTAGGCAACAGGGAGAACTAAGAAATACCACATATACCCATATAAAAATGTCATGATAAAGCTACAATCTTATCTAATTAACATGCATGGAAAAGCTATAGAAAATTTAAAAGCCAGAAGGAAATGATGGGAAAGACTTACCCTGTTGGATATCCTTCATTTCTAGATGTAAACTAGATATCAAGATTCCCACAGCTTGAGATCGTTTTCCATCCAGTAACTTGATGATCTATAGTTTTAAATAAAAAGAGAAAACACAGCTCAAATGAACATGCAATCCTTCATTAAACACACCAAGGACTTTAAGACTTTTAGATACATTGATGTACTAATGGAAAAACTGACCCAGCACTACAGGCACTTGACTTAATACTTCAATGGAAATTAGCACGTCTGATTACAGACTGTTTAAAAAAAAGGAAATCACATGCAGAGTTCAGCTGGTCTAACACAAACACCAAAAGTCTTCATCTTACTTACTTATGTTTTTTTTTTTTCCTTTTTGGTTTTAAAGGAAACCAAAAGGAAACCATGGGCTTCACCATGTAGACCAGATTGGCCTAGGACTCATGACTTTTTGCCTCAGCCTCCAAGTGCAAAGGTTACAAGAATGGGCCACCACTAGGAGTCCAAAAGAACTAGAGTCTGACTACTGCTAGGTAAAAGTAAGCTAATCCACCTCCATTTCATTATTCAAACAGCCACAGCGGTAGGAAGGATGTTATCATAGAAAGCATCCCTTGGTTAAAGAGTGCTACCTCACCACTGGACTCACATGCTGTGTCTTTCTGAAATTGGTTCTGTTTCACCAAAACAGGGAGGGAGGCAAGCTAGAGTATTTGTAGACTTTGTCCCTTCATATGTACTGAATTTTCTTTATGCTTTTAACAAGACCTACATATGGCATCCCTCCAAGTTTCTACTTATCTAGTCTTTCATTATGGACTAAATCAGATTCCTCTTCAAGACTAGATAAAAATGGGAAGAATACAACCAATATACAATTATGACTCAGATCCTCTTTGATGGTCATTGTTTTCTCTCAGTTTTGAAAGCTTCATTCTATTGGATTTTTAATTATTACCATGGAAAATCCACAGCAGGAAACACACAATATAAAAATCCTCAAGTTGTTTACAGTGCAGTGTAGCTCACACTGCTAATTACAAACCCTTCATCATACACCATATCTCTAAAGCCTTTTCATCTTGAATGATGGAAACTTTATCTGAATGACAGCCTCCCATTATCACAGCAATAAAATCCTAAGACAGATGTTAAATTTTGTCAAGTGTTCTTTCCATGTCTTTTGAGATGAACATGTGATTTTTATCCTTTGTTTTGTTAATGCATCTGAATTATATATATATATATATATATATATATATATATATATATATATATATACAGAGAGAGAGAACAGGAGAGGAAGAGAGGGAGACTGGGAGAGAGAGAGAGAGAGAGAGAGAGAGAGAGAGAGAGAGAGAGACCATGCAAGCACCAGCCATTTGAGCATCATGGTGATAAGCCCTGTGTGACTATAACAAGTGAACCTTCTAATGTTACTTTGAAGAATCTGCTAGTATTTTGTTGGTATTCATCTATATTAACCAGGGTCAATGCTGCTTTTCATCTGTTGCAGTGTCTTTGGTATCAGAAAAATCCTCACTTCATAAAACAAATCTGCAAGTGTTTCGATTTCAGGTTTCTGAAGAGTTTTTGAAGCAGTGGCCTGGACTTTTCCTCAAGTGTTTGGTAGACTTGTCCACCACTTTCCCTTCTGAGAGATACTGGAGCTCTAGCTCAGTTAGTTCTCTTCACGTGAAAGCTGTTCAGATTTTCTGTTTCCTCATGATACTGCCCTACAGGTTTCTAGAACTTGATCCATCTCATCCTGGTTACTCAAATTTTTGGCATATCAAATATGTATATATATATATATATATTCATATTGGTTTTTATATTTGTTTTCTGTGGCATATTATAAAATATGTCCTTTTGTTTTTAATTTCACATTTTTTTTGAGTTTCCTCTCTTTTTTCTCTTTCCAATTAAAGATTTGTCAGTTTTGTTTATTATGAAAAAAAGCATTTATTTTTATTTTTTTGGCATGTTTCCAATCCTTCTTTTATGTACTCATGTTTAAATGCTCACTGTTTTACCCTTCTGCTGACTCTGGGCTTAGTTTGTTCAAGTTACACAACATATGGAGTTACATTGTTATCAATGTACTCAGTCAGCCCTATAAACCTTTCATTATTGCTACTTTTGCTATGTAAGGTTCTGGATGCTGAGTTTTGTTTTTGTCTCAAGCAATCTTTCCATTTTCTTTTGAGTTTCTTCTTTAACTCACTAGTTGTTCAAAGTGTGCCGTTCAACTCTGACTAACTTCAGTTTTCTAATTTTCCTTCTACTATTACTGCTTTTTTTTTTTTTTTTTTTTTTTTTTTTCATTTTATGGCCATCACAAAACATACTTGGTATCTTCAACATGTTAAATTTATTGAGACTTATTTTGTGACCTAAAATTCTCTAAACCCTGGACAATGTTCCAATTGGAAAAAAAAATACATGTGCTCCATTCCTGTCAGTGGAAGTCATTGCAGTCACTCGTGGGCATCCACAGGGCACTGATACCAGGGCCATCACAGATACTCAAACCTACTGATGCCCTACCTTTTACAGTATGCTTAATAATTACTTATACTGCTAATGTAATGTAAATTGTAGATCTTTGTTATACAGTATTGTTCAGGGTGTAATGACAAGGAACATATCCGTGTATATTCAGTACAACTATCATAGTCCAACCAGGTGAATGAGAGGCAAACAGTGCTCCATGATTGCAGGAGAGACTAAGGAACTGAGAAGGAAGCAAATGAGCATATCAACACGAAACTCCATGTGCAGGGGCCCAGGATGGTACTTGTTATTCAAGCTTAGCTTTCTGTCTTGAACCCTCTCCGTCCACCCCTAAAAGAATGCATTATGGTTAAGCTTTTCATACTATTCTTTAAAGCCCTGTGACATGGGTAAAAGTTATTTACTCACAGCCATTAGAGTATTGTATATTTGTTTGGATATTTCCTCATTGGTGGGGTTTGGATGCACATGCTTGTGTTTGTTTCAGCCTACAAAATAAACATCTGCCTTTTTCCTGTAAAGCTCATCACTAAGTGGTGAGGAGCTTCTGCAGCTGCTGCTCATCTCTGTCTACTCTTCATACCTGAGGGAGAGTCTGCTTGCATGCATTGCTATTGGCTAGAAGTTTTGTTTTGTTGTTTTTCAGTATTTGGAATATAGCATCTTTTAGGCCTAGATGTCATGGCTGGAAAATTCACTGACCATTATGGCAGTGTGCCTTTTTATGTAACAAGTGGCTTTTGTCTTGTATTCAAAATTATTTCTCTGCCTTTACCTTCTGCAGATTTGGGTTCTCCTCTTTGGGGTCCATTAGACATCCAGATTCAGGAGGCTCGTTTCCATACCTATATGCAGACCATTCTCTTTTGTCAAATGTGCCTTGTGCTCCCCTTATGTGCTGTTTGGTCTGCTTGGTGACATCTTTAACCCCCTCTTAGACTTTCTTCCCTCTTTTTCATTCATTCCTTTAGTTTTGAATTTGCCAATCACCTCCTCCGCCTGGGTAAGAAAGCTGATGAAGCTTTGTAGTCATTTTTCAACTCAGTGATTAGACTTCATCACCGTTTCTATCTGCTCATTTCCAATGCTTTCCATCTCTGCTATTCTCTCACTCTGTCCCCGCCTCATTTCCCCAGCTCCCTGATCATCACTATCACATTTGGCTAGAATTACTTGTCGAGTACATCATGTGTGTTTGCAACTACACATTCATTTCAGGTGTTTGTTCTGTATGTTTGCTTGTTGCTAGCCTCTGTGTTCCTCTGTATATGCCTTGTTACTTCGGGCTGGTATATTTATGAAAACAAAATTAGTCATTTCCTCTAGTCTTTAGCTTTACAGATTGGTTTCTGCAGAGACAGTCTCCTACCAATAAATAAGCAGGGTGAATAAGAATTCGTAGGCCCATGTATGAGCATTGTGCAGGCATGTGAATCCCCAAGCTCTCAATTGAAAGAGGCCTTAATGGCTTCCCCACACTGCAGTTCTTCTTCTGCTGTTGTCTGGAGCACCATCACTTCTTTAGAGACATTAAAATATTCCCAATTCAGTTTTGTTCTCATCAGCATCTAGAGTATGTCAGGTCCTATGCACAGAATGTGTTGAGTAACAAAGAAACCAGCTGGAAAAAAAAATAGAACTTTGTATGCAATCTCCACTCTTTCCTCTCTTATAACCCATGGGGGGAAGCCATTAAGCTGTGCTGGCCTCTGTCTGTATACCACAGGTGCTCTGCAGCAATAGCAAACCACTCTGTAGCAATGGCAAGCCACCCAGCCAGCTCTTTCTTGTTCCCAGTAGTCCCTCCTTATGGATAGTATGCTGGCCTTGTCAGCACTATTAAGTCAGGAAGACAGAAACCAGTCCCTGGGCAGCCCTCCAAAAAGCCAGAACACTGGCTGCATGCTCCAACTTTTTCTTCCCAAGGGAAGAGTTGGGGGTTTACTCCAACCCACTCTACATTGAGAAAAGGGAAGAGTAAATGGAAAATAAGTACATGCTAGTTAGCATAGTCATCTTCACTCACAGCCTCCCCCAACTTGGCATCTTCTCCTCTTGGATTCAGACCCAGAAACTGGTCTTTCAGGTGGCTCCCAAATAGAATAGACAGACAAGACCATCCCTATTTCCTTCCCTAGAAAACTCAAGAGTTTTCTGTAGACCACTATGCAGTGAGAAGGGAGGGCACACTCCAATGTGAAAATGCTACCATTTCTCTAGCATCTTTAATGCGATATTACTTAGGGAACAAGATACACAGGAAGCTTTCTCATGAAGAAAATTGGTATGTGTATGGGATGAGGAGGGTCTGGCCCTTTCTCTTTTGCTATCTTGACATGTTTCTGAGAGGTATTTAGACACAAAAAGAGAGGCGAGTAGTTGAAAGTGGCTGGCATATACTAGGCATGCTGCCCAGCCCCGGGTGGATCACGTGGCTACAGTGAGCGAATGAACCATTGTACTGAGGCTGAGTCAAGCCACACTGCAAGAGGTCTGCCTGGCTTTGCCCTCATTGTTGGAGGGCAGACCTAAAAAATTACAATTTGAAATGTAGAGAGAGAAAAGTCGATGGGGAGAAGGAATACA